TCATAGCCCTGTGGGACAGAGCATAGACAATACGTCGTGTAACTACATGTTGGTGTTTGACGGACCAAATATGTGCACCAGCGCTCAGCCAGTTGATTTGATGATACGGGGAAAACCCGGGATGCGTGAACACTGGTGCAACGTACACGTTTGAACCGGGAGCTGAACGGGGAGAGGGAGAGAAAGGGTGCGAGGATGAGGACATTTTGAGAGACGTGATTGTATTTTTTTGTTAGGAATTGACAGATAGGTTGTGTAGTGTTAACGCTGTCGTCGTATGTGTTGGTTAGCTGTTGTTATTCCTCGTGTGCTGATAGTATGTTAAGACAGTTGTGTTGGGGTCGTACCATGTTTAGGTAGGTGTTCTTGTCCCTGGATTTTTGTGGGTTATCTGCGTCTTGTGCTGTCACTCGTTGACATTGTCCGCTAATACTTGAACCACTCACCCTGCGTGTGCCACTGAGTCTCGCATGGCGAAGATCGTAGCCTAGTTGGCGCTGCACTACAGGAGGTGGAATCGTGTCCTTGGGTATATCCATGGGAATGGCCCGGGGTGGATAGGTGAATATAACTGCTGCCACTGCCCGGGGATTTCGGATAAGGGACTGTCCATAACTGTGGAGGTTGTTTTAGGCTTTATTGTTCTTTGGCCATTAAAGATGATGTGTGTGCTTCATTTGTGTATGTGTTGAGTGTGTTTTGGTATAGGTTGTCTGTCACAGGGCCGTACAGCGAGCCCTAGTTCAATTATATAGATATCAGGTCCTTGACAATGATAGAGATCTAACTGTCTTTTTACTCAAGTGTGTGTCTTCATCACTTTGTAGTACTCCTAGGCGGACATTTCTTCATTCTCGTAGGGCACTGTCACATTGCTTTATTTCCTATTTGATAGTGTCATGAATGTTTTTCGTGTACATGTGTTTCAATGTTGTAAAACCTAAATGTTGTTGTTGCCATTGAAATTTAATGAACTATCATGTTTTTGAAATCACAAGCGTGAAGATAACTTTGGCAATCGTTTCACGTGTGGTTAATGTGAATCTGTATTACATACAGCTAACACACTGAAATGTGTTTAACTCTCGGGAGGCTAATGCGGAGATTGATCCCGGAGAGAAAATCCTTGAGATTTGGTATTTGATTCGCCCCAGAACTATTGTTAGCTTTCTGGGCGCGTCCATTGTTCCAAGCATAGATTCCAGAACTGGTTCTGTCTGACTGATTGTCATTTTGAGTCTGTACGAGAGATGGCACCTGACGTAGAAGACTTGACTATCATTACAGGACGTGTAGAGGAAGGCAGAAGATGTAACAGTTGGAATGTGAGACATAAGCCCTTCCAAATTGAACAGGAGTGAATGTGAGCATGAGGGAGAGATGAAATGTTTTATTTACATAAACATGCTTGATGTTAGTATATAATATACATGCTTAGTGTACATCTAGAGCAGATACTACAAATATGCGCTTGTTTCTTCATTCTCCAGTTCCCACATTGGGCAGGGACTAGTAGGCATCCATTATTTGCCGACCGTCGAGTGTAACGACCTGCAGAAAGCAGTGAGGACGACAAACTGGAAAAGATAGGCAGGGTCTCAAGCCGAGAACTGTCCTGACGGTGAATTCTCCTACTAGGAGTTAAGTATATGTACAAACTGTCATCAATCACACTCCCTCAACTCTACTAGCCTAAACAAGTTCATTTTATTTTAATTTCGATTTATTCAAATAAATCATGTGTGATGAGTTTCATGATAGTTGAGTAAATTGTGTACTTAGGTTCAAGTGTCTTTGTGCATATTAGTTTACTTCAGCTAACAAATATTTAAATCACTTGATGGGGGCTTTTAAGTAATGCCAGGAGAGGAGACCAGTCGCAGGGGTTAACTGAGCACCTGGATTATATCACAGTGGGTTTATCCAGATATCTATCTATCCCTTCTCCTACTCCTGTGGATACAAGTACAGCAACTTTCATTTCATGGAACGAGCCACTCGCTGTTTTCTTGGCTATCCAGGACTGTCTAGGATCAACATAGCTTAGATAATAGTCCAGTTTCTCACGTGGGTGGGCATTGTTAAGGTTCAAACCCACACCCTCACTATTTCAGTGTATTTACCCACGTGGGCGCGCGACAGTAGATTCGTGGGAAAAAATGTCAAGGACCTTGTTTCGTGGAGGATACAAATCAGGAAAGAAAGGCGAATGAAGGAAGAAGTGATTACAGAAATGTTGAGAGTTGAGTTTAGAAGAAACACACAAAATACATATGATGGTTAGACATATCTGTGTGTTCACCGGATGTCAACCCCGACGGAAAGACCTGGTTGTTTGTCCATTTCAGGACTTTGGCTTTGTTTCAGGACCTGAGTTTTGCGTGTGCATCCGTTTTACAGATCCTGCTTATTTATATGCAGATAGCTGGTTCCTTACCGCTAAGGCAGATGCATTCCGACTTTCAAGGAAGCACCTAATTAGTAGACCCTTACGATCTGCTTGCTAGGGAGGCAGTGGGTCTATTCTTGTTTTCCCCACAATGGGACCCGGAAACCCACACGTGGATCCCATTCTCTAATTAGGGAAGAGTTTACGGGACGCCGGCAGGTCTTGCTAGTCATATTCCGCATCGTTATGGCCTTAAGTCCAGTCCCATGCCCACTTAAAACACAGTATAACACTGTCGCCTGGAAGGACAGAGAAAAGCAAACAAAGCAATGTTTCCCCGAAAATTAAAAGGTATTAAAATAGAGTTTGCTCCAAAAGACCTCTAAAAGCTTATTTTCAGGGGATCAGTCAATCAACAATGGACATGAGGTGTATGAGAAAGACTATAGGAGTGACCAGAAGAGATAAAATCAGGAATGAGGTCGTACGAGATAAAGTCGGCGCTGAACCAATTCTAAATTACACACACAGACAGCAAATCAAATGGTTTGCCCACTTGAAGAGAATGCCTTCTAATGCTATACCGTACAGGCATTCATCAAAATAGGAGAGGGACGTAGAGCAAGGGGTAGACCAAGAACAAGATGAAAGATAACATCAGAGAAACTCTACAGCACCACGATGTGTCTATGGTCGAAGCAGCCAGAAGAGGACGAAAAGAAGAAGAATCAATCATCAGGTGCCGTCTACACAATAAAGGGTGGCTGCAATGAATCTCCACCGCTATTTTTTTCCTATCTTGGTACTAGACGCCCTTAGACTGGTTTTCGACCTCTCTTGACATTGTGCCCCTACATGTATCACTGTTTACTTATTGCTCTCTAGCCTTTGACTCTTTTCTTTCAGCGTGGGTTTTAAATCAGTGTTAAGTACTGGCCGAAATATTTCAGAAGATACTTTATATTATCATTTATTCGAAGCATCAACAATATTATGTATTTATACGAATTTATACATACATGATTACATTATAATTCAAATAACGTCCGTAAGGTCGGACCGTATAAGTGAATGTTACCAGTGCCTGTAAGGGGCTGCTGAGTGTAGGTAAAATCGGAAAGCTCTTGGGATCGTCACTAGAGCCATGAAGATCGCGACCTGTGCGATGATCAGAGCAGGAGAAACAGTTACTCTGCAGAGAGATACAGAGCTAAGAAAGGTAAAGGACCATATTCCACGCCCTCAGGCGTATCAGGGATACAGGGCTAGACCTATATTTCATAGACCCATCGGCACTTCGTGGGGGATGTAGTCAACAGCCTTTACTTCCCAGGACTGCACCTGATATCCACACAAGGCTAGGTCGCCCTGGGTGTCAAGGTCATTTAAACCAGAACCCACGACCTTCCGATCCGCAGGCGAGCGTCTAGCCGCAACACCTGGGTGACTCCAAATACAGAGCATACGGGATCAAATCCGATGCAATGAAGTCCATTCAATGTAAACCTAGGGGCTTCGAAACCGGAGTCCGTGATCCCTAGAACATTCTAAAGGGTTTGACGCTCCCCCCTCCAATATTACTTTTTCTGTGATTTGAGGGTGGGAGTGGGGGAGGGCTGCAGGGCGTCCATATATACCAGGTTTCTCAAACGAGTGTCCATCGTTCTTAACCTTCGGCCAGTCTCTAGCTGACAGGTCATGCTGCTGACGTCACCAAACCGGGCTAACAATACGTTTTTTTTTTCACTCTGACAGTCCCATTTTTCGGTGTATTCCCTGCCGTCCCCCGCAAAAATTCTAGTAATAAGCTTGAGAATTAAACATACATATAGTTATACACAATATGACAACATAGAAGCATAAAGTCCAAAATTTCTAGCCTACACACATCACAGAAAATTGCTAATGTATATTGTTTCATGCAGTTTACACGCATATTTGAATGATGAGATATGGGGTGTCTGTGGTGAGGTTTGTTCTAAAGTAAATATTGCCTCCAAAGCTCTGCCATCTCTGGATAATGTTTTTTCTGAATAACTATAGGAACGTCCAAAATGAAACATCCTTGCTGGATAAATCCTCCAATAAAAGAAAACTGGCTAAGTTCACTCAATAACATAAATTTACAGAGTATTATGTAACTACATTATGGGACATACTGCAACTAAAAATGTAAGTAGTTTCCGTTTTACTTTATGCTTCTATATTGTCACATTGTGTGTGTGTGTGTGTGTGTGTGTGTGTATATATATATATATATATATATATATATATATATATATATATATATATATATAAATATATATATATATATATATATATATATATATATATATATATATATATATATATATATATATATATATATATATATATGATTATTAATTCTTAAGTTTTTTCCTATAGTTTTTGTGGAGACGGCAAAAAAAAAAAAAAAAAAACGGGACTGTCAGAGTAAAAACAACATATCCTTAGCCCGGTTTGGTGACGTCAGCATCTGGAGGTGGTCTTGGCCAGTCACACCTCTACACAAGACCTGTTGAATAATGATGATAATGATGACTACAACGATGATGACGCATGAGGACATCAGCCTAAAGATAAAAAGTACACGTTCTCTTAGGGTTCACGTAGACTCCGGACATAAACACCAGGTCGCCAGGCTTCATCTGGTCCTTGGCGACTGTGTCAGGGAGGGTGTCGTACATATAAGCCTGGTTCCATGGGCCCAATTGGAAGCCCATCTCCGTTTGCAGGTCGCGCATGACTTGACGGACCAAACCACAGCAGTCCAAGAAGATGGGCGAAGCGTACTCTGGGCCTGTCAATGAGAACGTATGAATAAATCTGGTCTGTCTATTTAAAGTGCTTTCATACATTCTTCCTCATCCTCTTCCTCCAAAGCTCTTTCGCCCCTCCTCCTCCTTCGTCTTTTAATTTCAGAGATTTTTTTAAAGAATAAATGTAAGGATCTTAGTGCTCTTTCTAAAGCGTTGTATAAGTTGGTCTTCAGAAGAAGAAGAAGAAGAAGAAGAAGAAGAAGAAGAAGAAGAGGAAGAAAAAGTTATACTCTTAGTTTTACGTTTTAAGTAAACGTAAAAATCCCTTTTTACGCCTTAGGTGCATCAGGCATATGGGAAGAGCACCCATATTGTTACAGATCAATCAGCATTAGGTGGGTAATGTGGTCAGCATTACGCCGGCCGTCTTTACTTTCCCAGGACAGCCATCCTGGTACATATTTAAGTTTGGGTCGACCTGCCACGCCCCATACCATGATACAAATCCACGCAGCCAGCACTCTACGTTTGAAGAGACAAACAAATTCCGCCACTACTTTAGTGAGGATCTTAACCGGGTCTCCTAAATGAGGGTTTTAACGGCTAATATATTATCGGGCACTAAGTAAAACGGGATAGACAGCCTTTTTTTTCCTCTTTAAAAAAAAAATTGCCTTGGCTCTCAGGTCGACCCAGCCTTGAGTGGGTACAAGTTAAAGTCATGGGAAGTAAAGGCACCCGGCGTGATGCTACCATATCACCCACCCAGTGCCGATGGTCAATAAATATAGGTCTAGCCCTATATGCCCAATACACCTGAGTGTGTGGAAAATGGTTCTTTATTTGCTTCAAGGAAAAACGGGGAGCAGATAATTCAAACGAAGCAACATAATTAAACTAAGGGCTATTTCCACGCCTTTAGTTGTAAAGGGCACATAGGGCTAAACCTTTATTTTATACACCAATCGGCACAGAAATGTGGTTCAACATTATAATAATAATAATACCACCCGAATAAAGCCCAAACAAGCAGTAACGGCATAGACTGGAATGATCATTCCGAAACATTCCAAGGAAAGGCAAAGCTCTCTGGACAGATTTTTAGTCAAAGTCAAAACACATGAGTCTTAGCCAGGTCCAAATAGGGAAAGGAGAATAGGGAAAAACACTCAAATCGAATATACATGTAAGTATATCTGAGTGTGTGTGCGCGCATGTGTGTGTACGTGGGAGTGTGTGTGCGCGCATGTGTGTGTACGTGGGAGTGTGTGTGCGCGTATGTGTGTACGTGGGAGTGTGTGTACGTGGAAGTGTGTGTACGTGGGAGTGTGTGTACGTGGGAGTGTGTACGTGGGAGTGTGTGTACGTGGGAGTGTGTACGTGGGAGTGTGTACGTGGGAGTGTGTACGTGGAAGTGTGTACGTGGGAGTGTGTGTGCGCGCATGTGTGTGTACGTGGGAGTGTGTAATTTTTAAAGAGCTTAATAGAGTCAGCTTAGTGGTACTATAGCGAAAAATGCACAATCCTTAATAATGTATTATGTGTGTGCGTGTAGATGTGCGCGCGTGTGTGTATGCATGTGTGTGTTCACAAGAGCCATACAAAGCCAACTCAGATATATGACAATGCAATCATAATAAGTAATGTACAATGCATTTATATGTCTGTTTGTTCATAAGAGCTATGTAAAGTCAAGCCAGTTGTGAAGAAGTCAGCAATATAAGCATAAATAAATAATGCTCAATGTGTGTATGCGTGTGTGCATGCATGCATCCGTGTGTGTGATAGAGACAGAGAGAAAGAAGTAGACACAGAGCATGTGGGAACTTACTTCAACTTATCCAACAGTGAGTTAGTGTGTGCGTAGCTCTGTGTGTGTGTGTGTGTGTGTGTTAAAAGAAAGAAAGATATATAAATAAAGAAAGACAGACAGATAGAGAGAGATAGAGATAAAGAGAGAGAGAGACAGACAGAGAGAGATATAGAGAGACAGACAGACAGACAGACAGACAGACAGACAGACAGACAGACAGACAGACAGACAGACAGACAGACAGACAGACAGACAGACAGACAGACAGACAGACAGACAGACAGACAGACAGACAGACAGACAGACAGACAGACAGACAGACAGACAGACAGACAGACAGACAGACAGACAGACAGACAGACAGACAGACAGACAGACAGACAGACAGACAGACAGACAGACAGACAGACAGACAGACAGACAGACAGACAGACAGACAGACAGACAGACAGCTAGCTAGCTAGCTAGCTAGCTAGATAGATATAGATAGATAGATAGATAGATAGATAGATAGATAGATAGATAGATAGATAGATAGATAGATAGATAGATAGATAGATAGATAGATAGATAGATAGATAGATATAGATAGATAGATAGATAGATAGATAGATAGATAGATAGATAGATAGATAGATAGATAGATAGATAGATAGATAGATAGATAGATAGATAGATAGATAGATAGATAGATAGATAGATAGATAGATAGATAGATAGATAGATAGATAGATAGATAGATAGATAGATAGATAGATAGATAGATAGATAGATAGATAGATAGATAGATAGATAGATAGATAGATAGATAGATAGATAGATAGATAGATAGATAGATAGATAGATAGATAGATAGATAGATAGATAGATAGATAGATAGATAGATAGATAGATAGATAGATAGATAGATTAGATAGATTAGATAGATAGATAGATAGATTAGATAGATAGATGGATAGATAGATTAGATAGATAGAGAGAAAGAGAGAGAGAGAACGAGAGAGAGAGAGAGAGAGAGAGAGAGAGAGAGAGAGAGAGAGAGAGAGAGAGAGAGAGCTCTTAAGAGCTAACCTGAACCAAATCTGACGTACGAAAGTAAATAATATGCGATCAAGCAACCAATTAGAGGAGAATTATGTGGAATCTGCGGTAAAGTGGCTTTAGCTGTAGAATGATAAGAACATTCTGGATAGGTACTACATGGACAGATAACACCGTGGACAAAACACACCATGTAAACAAGAAGAAGAAGCATTTCAATGGGAACAATTCGAGTGGTGAAATGCCAGGGCAGCCACTGGTAACAACAATGACAAGACAAAGAAGATACAAGACACATCCTCAGAAGAAACCAGCAGATAATTCCCAAACAGGCACTAAAAGGGGAAACAATTTGATTGAAGAAGTCAGAATGTCCAAAAGAAACCCCAAAAGGAAACTTGAAGAGAGCAGATTACGGTGCTGGAGTGGATTCCACGCATTGTATCCAAGTGGTGGCACCCAGGAGCTGTCAGGATGCGGCAGCGGCCACTCGCCGGGCAACAGCTTTGACGGGCTGGTTACACTAAGAGAGGGTAACCGATCTGGTTCTAAACCACTCGGTGATTGAGATATGCCTACACTGCGTGCAAAGAATGGACTCGGCGGATTATGCGGATGAAACCTCTTATAGATCTGGGATGTACCCTGTTGGTCTGACATCCAGACTGAGATTGTGAAATGTCAGGGTGGTCAGACCGTCAGGTAGCACCGCGGAGAAAATGAAGACATGGAAAGTAAACATAGCTGGGCTATCCTCCGAATAACGGGCGGTAAAGATGGCGGCCGCAAAATATCCTGACGATCCTCAGTCACGTGTCAATTGCGCACTAGCGGTCACGAGCACATCGCGGGAAAACTAGGATTAGTGTATGTTGACAATTTCGAGAAACAGAACAAACCACCGAGTTAAACTCGCCGCCATGAGTCTCCCACGCCGCTACGTGCGGCGCGGATGGGGCTAAACTAGATGGCTGGGGCTAAACTAGATGGCTGGGGCTAAACTAGATGGCTGGGGCTAAACTAGATGGCTGGGATCCACGAGCAGCAGCTTCCGCATCTCCTGCAGCTTTGCTCGTGAGTCCTAGCCAACTAGTTTAGCCCCAATCCACGCCGCGTGAGCGGCGTGCGAGCCACTCTCGGGGGTGGAGATAGTCACCGTAAAAGCGCAAATTAAGTGGCCGGAGGTGCGCAATTGACACGTGACTGAGGCCCTGTTTTTGGCCGCCATTGGCCGGCATCTTTTGTGCTCGTTATTCAGAGGATAGCCGGTTTGTGGATGCTGCTAAAGAGAAAGCTGCGTTACCAATCTGGTACGAGGCGCGCCTTGTTCCGATAGTACTTAGCCGAGTTTCAATGGCGTAACAGGCACAAACAGCAGATTTTCGGGCACTATTTACAACTTCTGTGCCATAATTTCAACATATAAAGGCATAAAATTATCGGTAAGTAGTCGATTTGATATAACATTTTTTTCGTTCCTTATAAGCTTTGACTTCAATTTTTGAATGTTTACAACACATGACACGTGACTGTGGCTCGTCAGGCCATTTTGCGGCCGCCATCTTTACAGCCCGTTATTCAGAGGATAGCCCATAGTTGAAATATTTCTGTCACACATTGTATGGTTAGATATATGGTTAGGTATATGGTAAGGTATGTGGTTAGGTATATGGTTGAGTATATGGTTAGGTATGTGGTTAGGTATATGGTTAAATAATTGGTTAGGTATATGATTAGGTAAATGGTTAGGTATGTGGTTATGTAACTTGTTAGATATATGGTTAGGTTTATGTTTAGGTATGTGGTGAGGTATATGGTTAGGCATATGGTTAGGTATATAGTTAGGTACATGATAAAGCACCAGCAAGAAAATCAAGGTCAGCAGTTTTAGGGCATGCGTTTTTCCAGTAGCAAGATATATATATATATATGTGTGTAAATGGTGGACTAGCTCGTAGTCATTAGGGAAGAAACTAGGGACTCAGGAGCTGAAATACTACAGACAGATTGACAGAATACCACAAACCAAGGAGAACAGAAATACTGATATTCTAAAAGATCAAGGAAGATTGGCTGGTAGACAGCATCTTGTCTCGGAAACTGAAATATTTTGACCATATGAAGCTCCCCGACGGATTGGAAAGAATACCAGCAGAAGGCGTGGTGCCGTGAAAAAGGGTACAGGGGCTGACGAGCGTGAAGATTGGCACATGTTATGCGTGAGACTGAGTTGAGCTGAGTCAAGAATTGACATCACAGCATAGAGGCATTCCCATGCACGCTTCGTCCTCATCTTCAGCAGCCAGAGCAGAATTCCAATATTGATGGTATCGGTAACAATCTGGTTATATGTTAGTCTTGCTTTTCCTCTGAGCCTAATGAGCCGGCCAGATCCATTCTCTCCAGGCTATAATAATCTTCTTTCTTTACTGATTCCGTTGCTTGTTCGCAAAAAGCCTTGACCACATCTGCATTGTCATGTATCAATTCACCACCCAGTGGTGCAGATCCAGCTAATCTGTCTGCCTGTTCATTACCCGCCACTGGGTGACACTTTGGATAGGTAAATCTACGAGAAGAGAGATCTGACGATAGACAGAATTTACCTGAAGCTAGCTGTGATTAGAAACTTAACGATTCGAGATCCAGTGAATAATGATACTGTCAGACAGATTTCCGGAACCACACCTTGTACTAGCTTGATCAAGAAACATCATATCAAGTTGTCTGGCCATTTAATTAGAATGCAGCAACAATAAATACTAACCAAAGATCCTCTTACAAGAGCAAGCGGATGGCCACGAACAATTAGATCGACAACATTAAGGACACTTTACGGTTTCACAATAGCCAGTGTAGGCCAGCGTGCACTGGATCGCTAATATATTCATTCCAAAGTCACTTAACGGTAGAAGTGGTTATTATGATGATGATGATGGTGATGATGATGATGGTGGTGATGATGATGATGATGATGACATACTGTGTGGAGGCCAGTACTTTCTAGCATAAGGCACGCCGAAGTACTTCTTGGCTTGGGCGATGATTTTCTCTCTAAGTTCCTCCATTCTGGCAGGAGTGGGTGGTGCCTCGATTCCCTTCCCGTCCAGCTGTCTCTGTTCTCGAGCTTCATTCTGAAAAGAGAAGAAAAAAAAAAAACAATTAAGTGTTATCCGATGAGGCGCTACATTTAAATCATAGATGAACTTGCACAGTAATAATATACTGGAACGCTGGGGGGGGGGGGGGTGGGGAGTTCCAAAAGACTTGCCTAAATGTTCAATAATAATAATGTATAGCAGAGGGAGAGAGAAAAAAAGGGGCGCCCAAAAACAACATGGAGACGAACGATGGAAAGTGACCTGAGTGCGGCATCTTTGACATGGAAAACTGCACTGAAGATTGCACAGGACAGGAAAGCATGGAAAGTCCTCTCTGAAGCCTCATGTGCCACTAGGCATAACGAGAACTGATGAATAATAATATTTATTATTTGTAATTATTATCACAATTACTAGTATGTGTAGATTTGCAAATATAAAAAATAAATTGAACCAGTGCTGGATTTAGCTGAAAACTAAATAATGTACAGCCAAGTCCCTCACAATCTGCAGTGGCCTCTAAAATACCTTTTTTTCACAAATGCAATTTTATTTAAATGTTAATTAAATTTATAATAATTTAAGCTGCAACATTTAAAGGATTATCTAATTCCTTTTCATTTTTGCAAACACAATCTTTTATATTTCTATGAATATAAATTAAACAACAGTATTCAATATTTTTTGTGTAGTAGCAATCAGTTACACAACTGCTGGCTTGCTAGGCCTGTCGCGTGGTGAGGCAGGAAAAAAATCCTATTAGGCAGACTGAAACCTCGCTACATGTGAGCCTTGCTCCGTCAGTATGAAACCTCGCTACATGTGAGCATTGCTCCGTCAGTCTGAAACCTCGCTACATGTGAGCTTTGCTCCGGCAGACTGAAACCTCGCTACATGTGAGTCTTGCTTTGGCAGACTGAAACCTCGCTACGTGTGAGCCTTGCTCCGTCAGTCTGAAATCTAGCTGCATGCGAGCCTTGCTCCGTCAGTCTGAAACCTCGCTACATGTGAAATGTGCTGTCCCCCAAGGTCACTAACAACACAAGAGGCAGGGTTACGAGTAGCAGCATTAGAGGGCGGGTTGAAATAAGACCATGTCTGGATTATACTGACGGACAAAGAATGAAATGGTTCAGCCTTTTAGTGAGAATGCAGCCAGGCCAAACTGCGTATGTGACTAAAGATGGAGGGGAGGTAGAGAGTAGGAGATTTGAGAAAGAGGAAGAAAGATAGGAGGAGGAAAATGCTGAGAGAAAGAGACCGGTGAAGACAGGGAGAAGAAAGAGAGTGGAAAGATAAAGAGAAAGAGAAATAAGAATTACAGGAGAGAGAGAGAGAGAGAGAGAGAGAGAGAGAGAGAGAGAGAGAGAGAGAGAGAGAGAGAGAGAAGAGAAGAGAAGAGAAGAGAAGAGAAGAGAAGAGAAGAGAAGAGAGAGAGACAAAGAGAGAGAGAGAGAGAGAGAGAGAGAGAGAGAGAGAGAGAGAGAGAGAGAGAGAGAGAGAGAGAGAAAGAGAGAGAGAGAGAAAGTGCATGTGTGTCCGTGCGTTAAACGCCCGTGTAAATTATTAATTTGACCCAACGCCCGGGGTTGAACTTCGATTAAATAATATTCTATGGCCTTATGATAAGCGGGCCGCGCTGATTGGCAAACATTGAAATGAGATTATAATCAAGATCGAACCGTTTCTCAAGCAATTTAAACAAAAATAAAACATAAATCGCACATTAAGGAATGCGCATAATCTGTAGAATTAGGGACTTCTTCTCATTCTTGCACACTGCCGCTGATTTCGATTTCGCTGGCGGGTATACGCTTAGAATTAAATTGTTTTTAAAATCATAGACTTTGATAATTATGCTTTTAAAGCTTGTTCCTCTTTCCCTCCTTTCTTTCTCCCAAGAGCAGAAGAGAAAAAGGAAAACGAGAATTTAGCTGATTTATAATAGTTAGCATCCTGTCGATATTTTCTCTAGGTCAGGCCTGTGTGTTAGGAAATGAACAGGCAGAAAGATGGTTGGCTCTGCACGACTTCGTGGTGAACTAGTGTATTACAAGTTAGATATTGCGAGGGCTCTTTGGGAGCGGGTGAACAGTGCGGAGGCGCAGATAGATCATAACGGTCTAAGTAGAATGGCGCTGCGATGAGTTACCAGGGGATCTGGCCGACGCTCAACATTCAGGGGAAGAATGAGACGAATATACAATCAGACGGTTACCAGTACCATCGGAATTAGAACTCTTCGCTTGCTGCTGAAGATGGGGACAGAGCACATATGGGAGTGTCCCGAGTGCTGTGATGTCGATTCTTAATTGAACATTCAACATTCTTTTAGTCCCAGAAGGTCATGTCTGATGCCCTCATGTAAAAATGTAAGTAAAGATCCCTTTTCACGCCTTAGGCGCATCGGGTATATGGGAAGAGCGTCCCATATTTTTACAGACCAATCGGCACTGGATGGGTAATGTGGTCAGCATTAGGCCGGCCGTCTTTACTTCCCCAGGACAGCCCTCCTGGTACCCATTTTAGGCTGAGTCGACCTGCGACGCCTCATACCATGAAAAAATCCACGCAGCCAGCAGTGGGTTTTGATCGCGGTACGTTGGATTACAAGTCGGACTTGCAACGCCTAAACCGTGATGCCCACATGAGGCAGTGATTACTGGCAGCAGCAAACTTATGGGTATACTACATCCACAGGAGCTAAATATACAACCTTTATCGGAGACTGGTGTGGTGTTTGTCTTTTACTATGCCGTGTCCAAACATATGATGTACTAGCCTAATAATATGTTGACTGGTGCATATGAGTAAATGCTGTCACACATAATGCACTGTTTGCGACTGAATCAGTTACTAGGCGGTAACATTTGTGTTGTGGTTTATAGCTAGAACATGATATCTACGCTTTTCAGTCCAACAAATCCGATGTCAGCAAAGCACTGATAAATCGCCTTTTACGACATGTTTGTTAGGGGTACATGGTGGATTGCTCTCTCCCCTCCCAAATAACACTCCGGAACTCACACGGAGAGTCTGGGTTTTACACAGCCCTGAAAGTGGTAAATACATTCAATCTCCTTTTTCTTTCATATGCTCAGGTTATCAGCTGTGTTGCCTCCATGAACCGGCACGTCCGCAGCAAGTCTCCAAGGGTCCCCTAAAGTTTGTCCCAGATGCCTCTTACCTCTGGCCAGGTGTTTTCTAACAGGTTTTGTTGTAGGGCGCCGTTCCGCAGTATTTGTTCAGGTGTTTTGAGTGCGTTTTGGCAAAAACACTTGGAGGATTGTTTAGTCTTTATTCTCTTTGTGTGTGTGCATCAGTCCGAAGTCTTTAGTACTTAGTCGAGGAACTGTGCTGTACTGTCTTCTGTTTAGTCTGTTGATTGGGTAGTCTGGATGTTTGCTGTTCTCTGCATCTATGAGTTCATGTGCTTCTCTTTGATCAGTGTCTTTACCTAATTTAGTGATATCTGATAGGGGTCTTGTTTTCCATGCGTTCCATCTTTGGCCATGTTATCCGCCATCTCATCACATGTTATGCCACAAGGGGCTGGGATCCACTGCAGCACAACCTGGCTGGTCTCTGAGAGCTTGTTGAGTTGGCAGGACATCTTCCTTTCCATGTCAACTTGTAGTTTTCTGTCTGTGTAGCCTGTAGGGATTACATGCAGTCGCACAGGATCCTCAGATGGCAGTCTTAGGTGTTTCTCTCCTCAAGGATCTTGGCGGCTTCGGTGATAGCATATTGGTCCGCTCCTAAGTTCGATGAGAGCTTTCCAAATGCGCATGACTTCTGGAATGGGGTTCAGTTTTTTAGTAACATGACTTTGACTGCTCCATCATTCCTCTCTATTTCTGTTGATCTTCCGTCTGTAATAACATATATCAATTCAGTGCATGGGCAGATTGTTTGATATAGTCTCATGTCTATGTTCTCATGTTGTTTCCTGGTGCTTAGGATCTTTTCCATTCTTTGCATTGTTATTACTATTGTGCAGTTTAGCTTCTGACGTACTCTTAATATTTATATGACAGAAGCATATCCTAGGTTTTATACGAACATTCAAGACAGTAAAGAGGGATGTGTCTACTTACCACAATCTCACTCTCTAGTTCTCGATCTATATTTTATCTCTTCGTCTATAAATCAGTCCTTTTATCAACCTCCCCACCCCTTCTCTCTCCCCCAACCAATTATATATATATATATATATATATATATATATATATATATATATATATATATATATATTATGATCAAAGGAGGAAAAGGAAGGCAACCAGAATGAACAAGACAACGCGGCCTGCTTGAGTGTGCCAGAGATGACGCAAACATCAGAAACAAAAACCCATAACCCCTCAGCGGGAAACAATTCAACAGCGACCCAGATCTATTTCTCCAGCCACAAACTCAGCCGAAGTAACAACCACATGGGACAAAACCTGTGGAAAACTGAAACATTAAAGCATAAACAAAAACAACAATCTCTAAATTATTTTTAAAAAAAAAACAAAAAACTGCTGTCGCAAAAATCAAAATTAACGGGTGTTGCGTACTGTAAACTCTCTGCTGTATAGGCAGAGACAATTACTCAACAATAGGACTACTAAGCCGATAAGTGATGGGGCCCGGGAAACGCGTGATCAGTTATGGGCTGTTGCCGGTCGTTTACCAATTAATTCGGCCACGTTTGGGAAGTAACAAGAGATATTATAGATATCGATTGCCGCTTGTTGAAGTCGAGCGGGGAAAGGAAGTGAACATGAAAGGACACACTAGACAATGGGACAAATTGAAAGGTATAGAAACACCGACTTGAAACCTTTCAGTTGATGTTTTGTGTTACTGGATTAAATGTTCTATATATATTTAGTCTTCTTTTGTCCATGTTTCGCTTTGTGCCGCTAGACGTCGCAGGTTATCAGATGATCGCATTTAAGCTAGGGCCCGTTCAGATACCTGGT